GCAGATTCAAAGTAGAGATCTTAGAAGGATCCATATGTTAACATTGTAGTTGGAGGGTTTGTGTGCTTTTTTTCTTTTTTAGAGAGTTTGACTAATGACTGAATTTTCCTTCAAGTAATTTGCCCATCATTTAAAAAACATGCATAAGCATAGGCCATATTATATAGCTGGCTGGAGTCTCAGAAAACCTGGTGTGCCTTAGCGTTTGTGAGTCCCATTCCATTTCTTATTAATCTCTCAAGAGCAAAGATAATCCTATAAATCCACCAGAGAATGTCAGGAGTCTGGACTGGTATTTTAGATCATGGCAACTGCCCTCATGGCTTTTAATTAGTCATCCACTAGTGTCTGCCATTTGGAATGTTTATTTTTGCTCTTGGAGGATTTCCAGAAATCAGCAAAGGAAAAGGGCCAAGTCACTTACAGACACGCATAACCGAACCAAAATGAGACCAAAATTAGTGTTCACAATACTTTTAACCCAGCTGTGCAGATTAAACGCACTCTTAAATTAGGCAGGCAGGAAGAACCAAAAGTAAATTCTCCAGAAAAGACTTGCCTCACAGATAGGATATAAATTCTCTAGAAACCAGAGCACTCAAACCAGAAGGGCACTTGTCCTCATCCCAGAAAGGACTTTCCAGAAAAGACAAAAAGGCTTTTATCATCCCAGGAGGATGTGATGTCCTTTATTAAAGGCAGACTTGTAACTGAAACAAACCCTCTATAAAGTGAAAAACAATTCACCAAAGGGAGGGAGTCTGAGAATCCTACAGGAGATTCACCCGGCTGGAAAAGGCAACTCATGAAGATGGAGAGCACAAAGGGCTCAGTCAGTATACACTCAGTTTCAGGGGCCTCTGATTCTTCTGAAGTGAGCTTGCCTCATCCCACTTCTGACACCATTTATGTCAACCTCAATAACAAACGGAGTGAGGCCCTCTAAAACAAAATGATATTTATTTGGTAATAAGGTATTGCAATGGGAATACATGTGTGATAGTAAACCATGTGCATATTCAGGGATTTGAAGGAAGACAAAGGTTTTCAAAGGAAAAATGAGGATTACATAATTGTTTTGAGATAATTATCCTTGGCTACAAGGATCAATAACAACAGTGGTGCCAGTTTGGGGTTGGACAGTCAGTTGCTAAGCAGATGTCCTTGCAGAAGTGTTTTTTTGGCATAAGGTTGTGACGGTCTTCATGCTAGGTTCTGGTTTTCACAAGGTTGTGGTCTTTTGGAATAGTTTTTGTTACCAGACATTTATGCATGAGAACGAACTCTCCAGTTCTTCTTCTTCTTTTTCTTTTTTTGTAAACACAAGTGACTTTTTTTTTTTGTTATTTGTTGTTGCTTTCTTTTCTTTTCTTTTCTCTTTTCTCTTCTCTTTTGTCTTCTCTTCTCCTTCTCTTCTCTTCTCTTTCTTTTGTGATGGTCTCCCTCTGTCACCCAGGCTGGAGTGCAGTGGCAAAATCTTGGCTCACTGCAACCTCCACCTCCTGAGTTCAAGCAATTATCCTGCCTCAGGCTCCTGAGTAGCTGGGATTATAGGCACGCACCACCATGTCTGGCTCATTTTTCAGGGTTTTATCATGTTGGCCAGGCTGGTCTCAAACTCCTGGCCTCATGTGATCCACCTGCCTCAGCCTCCCAAAGTGCTGGGATTACAGGTGTGAGTCACCATGCTTGGCCAGAAATGACTTTTTTTTTTTCCATGAAAGAATTTAATAGGGAGTTGATTTTGTTGTAGAATCATATCTTCCTGTTCTGTGACACATTAGAAACGTAAACTTTAGGGCTTTTTCATCTCCACAGCATAGAGGTCTGATCGCTTCTGTCTAAAAACGGGGATTTGCTGGCGTATTTCAACCAGCTTCTTCAGGTCTATGTCTGAATACACGATTGCTTCTTCTGTGCCAGCTTTGGCTAGGACCTCCCCCTAAGGGTTCACCATGGTGCTGTGTCCCCAGGCAACGTAGGAGGCTTTGTCATCCCGGGCAGGAGAGGCTGTGGCCACATACACCTGATTATCAACAGCCCGGCTTCGCTGAAGCAACTCCCAGTGGGCTGGTCCAGTGGTCAGATTAAAAGCTCCTGGATATACCAACAGCTGGCAGCCTCTCTGTGCTAGATTTGTGCAAGCTCTGCAAACCGCGTGTCGTAGCAGATGCCCAGACCCACTCTGCAGTAAGGAGTATCAAATGTGGAGAAACTATCACCCGGACTCAACGTTTTAGATTCTTGAAATGTAATTTTTCCAGGAACATCAGTGTCAACAGATGGATCTTTCTGTACTTTGCTAGTAAAGTTCCATCAGGCCCAAACACAGCACAGGTGTTATATAATTTCCCAGCATCCTCTGCAGGGATAGAGCCTCCAATGAGAAATATGCTGCATTCCTTTGCTACTTCAGAAAGCTTCTGTGTGGATTCACCAGGAATTTTCTCTGCATATTCAGGAAAATATTTCGTTCCATATGGAGAATTAAAGCATTCCGGCAAAGCGTTGCTGCCTCCTGGATAAAGCTACAAGCTCGAGTGACGTTATCTGATTTGATGGAAGAAATTTGAAGCTGGATGAGAGCCAAGTGGAAAGTGGCCATGGCTCTTCAGACAAGCACCACCTCCAGAAATGACTTTTAATTCTAACCACTTTCACAGAGTTTATCTGGTTTGGGATTTGCTCGGCTTCTTGAATCTGAAGGTTTATATTTATGTTTGTTGCCAAATTTTGGAAGTTCTCAGGCATTATTTTTTTGAGTGCTTTTTTTTTTTTTTTTGAGATGGGGGTCTCACTCTGTTGCCCAGGCTGGAGTGCGGTGGGGTGATCACAGGTCATTGCAGCCTCAACCTCCTTGGCTCAAGCAATTCTGCCACCTCAGCCTCCAGAGTAGTTGGGACTACAGGCACACACCACTACACCCAGCTAATTTTAAAGTTTTTTGTAGAGACAGGGTCCCACTATGTTGCCCAGGCTGGTCTTGAGCTCCTGGACTCAATCTGTTCTCCCACTACAGCCTTCCAAAGAGTTGGGATTACAGACATGAGCCACCGTACCCAGCCTCGAGTATTTTCTTAGCCTCCCTCTTTTTCCTTCTTGTTTGTTGACACAAATGTTAGATCTTTTGTTATGGTCACACAGACCCCTGAGACGCTGTTCATTTTTTTTTTTGTCTATTTTCTCTCTGTTGTTCTGATTGGGTAATGTCTGTTGTTTTGTTTCCCAGTTTATGGTGCACCTTTCCTTTCCCATCCACTCCACTCTTTTTTTTTTTTTTTGAACTCTGAACTTTTTATTGGCCTCCTGCTCCCCAAAGGGTGCCCTGCTTCTGCTGGCTTAATGCCTCAGAACTTTGGTGTCATTGGTCTCAGACACCACTTTGCCATCCACTATCCGGTGGGTGGTGGTCTTTTGGATGGTTTGCATGGAGTTGCTGCTGTCCAAGGCATCACCAAGATTGAATTCCTCGCCATCTTCCAGCAGGCGGCGGTAGGTGGCGATCTCAGCTTCCAGCTTGACCTTGATGTTCAACAGGGCCTCATACTCCTGGGCCTGGCGCTGTCCCTCTGCCCGGGTCTGTGCCATCTCTGACTCCAGGTGCAGCAGGATCCCATTGAGCTGCTCCATCTGCAGGGCATAGTGGGCCTCCACCTCCCTCAGGTTGTTCTCCAAGCTGGCCTTCAGATTTCTCATGGAGTCCAGGTCGATCTCCAAGGACTGGACTGTATGTCTCCGTTCTGTGAGCATCATCTCAGCAGCTCCAACTTTGGCAGACTGCGTGGTGACTGCTGTGGTGCTCTCCTCAATCTGCTGAGACCAGTACTTGTCTAGCTCCTCTCGGTTCTTCCGAGCCAGCTTGTCATATTGGGCCCGGATGTCTGCCATGATCTTGGCGAGGTCCTGAGATTTGGGGGCATCTACCTCCACGGTCAACCCAGAGCTGGCAATCTGGGCGTGTAGGCCTTTTACTTCCTCTTCGTGGTTCTTCTTCATGAAGAGCAGCTCCTCCTTGAGAGCCTCGATCTCTGTCTCCAGCTGCAGTCAAGTGACATTGGTGTCATCAATGACCTTGCGGAGCCCATGGATGTCGTTCTCCACAGACTGGCGCATGGCCAGCTCTGTCTCATACTTGACTCTAAAGTCATCAGCAGCAAGACGGGCATTGTCAATCTGCAGAACGATGCGGGCATTGTCCACAGTATTTGCGAAGATCTGAGCCCTCAGGTCCTCGATGATCTTGAAGTAATGGCTCCAGTCTCTGACCTGGGGTCCCTTCTTCTCCAAGTGCTCCCGGATTTTGCTCTCCAGCCTCCAGTTCTCGGTCTCCAGGCTCCTCACTCTGTCCAGGTAAGAGGCCAGGCGGTCGTTCAGGCTTTGCATGGTCTCCTCCTCGTTCTGGATGCCTCCCATTCCTGCCAGACCCCCGGCCATCCCTGAGGCCAGGCCCCCGGACCCCATGCCGCCCCGGAAGCTGGTGGAGCGGGACACGGAGATCCGGGAACCAGAACTCCCGGCGCCTGCATAGACACTGGCCGCACTGCTGACCGGCCGGGCGCCGTAGCTGGGCGCCTGGACAGAGCCCAGGGACCGGTAGTTGGTAGAGAAGGTGGAGCGAGTGGTGAAGCTCATGCTGTATGGGAGGAAGGCGAGACGACAGGACTCAGGCTTTGCCGACCTCCACTCCACTCTTAAGCCCATCTGCTGAGCTTTGTGGTTATTGTATTTTTTTTAGTTCTAAAATTTCCAGTAGGTTCTTTATATCTTTTATTTCTTTGCTCAGACTTTCGACTTTTTCATTTTCTACAAGTGTGTTTATAATTGTTTGTTGAAACATTCTTATCATGGCTGCTTTACAAATATTTTTCAGATAATTCTAATATCTGTGCCATCTTGGTGTTGATATCTTTTTTTTTTTTTTTTTTAAGATGAAGTGTCGCTCTGTTGCCCAGGCTGGAGTGCAGTGGTGCAGTCTCAGGTCCCTGCAACCTCCGCTTCCCAGGCTCAAGCCCTTCTCCTGCCTCAGGCTTCCGAGTAGCTGGGACTACAGGTGTGTGCCACTATATCCGGCTAAGTGTTGGTATCTATTGATTATTGCCTTTTAAATTCAGATTGAGGTTTTTCTGGATCTTGGTATGACAAGTGATTTTCTATTGAAACTTGGACATTTCTATTTCTCATTCTTGTTTAAACCTTCTCTTTTAGCTGACTTTGACACCACTCTAGCAAGGGAAGAGGAAATAGCATATTGCTGCCAGGTTGGGGGTCAAAGCCCAGTTTCCCCCCCTGCCTCCACTGATACCTGAGGTGGGAGGCTGCTTGTTACTGCTGGGATGCCATGGGACTCCCAGCTGCCCCTGTGGTTTCCACTGACTCCCCAGGCGGGAGCAGCCGCACAATCCCTGGGTGCTGGTGAGCGTTCTGCCTCCTCACCAGGCCCCTCTGACACCACGCGTGAGGTTGTTGGGCACCTCATTATAGCTGTGTGAGGGTCGAGGTCTTGGCCTCTGCTGATCTGGGCGGGGCCTCATTTTTGCTGTGGTGTTCGGCTGGAGTAGAGCAGTTATTTATTGTCTGAATTTTCTGTCTTGCTAAGCTGCCCCTTTCCTAGTCCTCTGGTTGGAAAGAACAGGTTTTTGTGCCCACGGGTGTTTCCACTGGGGGTTTTAATTGTACTTAGTGGGAAGAACAGGGAAAAGAGCATCTACTGATCTTCCGAGACACAGGCGTTAGTTTACTTTTGGTAGCTGTTGTCAAGGTGTCCATGTTACATGTGGTGCACACGTTGCTTTCCATTGTTTCTTTTTCTTAAGGGTGCATTTTGCTATGCAGAAATGTTTGGTTTTTAGAGACTCAAATATATTAATCCTTTTTAAAAAATGGATTCAGGGTTTTATAACATGTTTGGAAAGGCCTTTCTCAAACCAAGCTTATATATTTAAAAAAAAAAAAAACCTCCCATTTTCTTCTAGCTTTAAGGTTTTATTTTATTTTATTTTTTTACATTTAAATATGTGAGCCATCTGGAATTTATTCTGGCATAAGTTGGAACAGGAATCTCCCTGCACTCCCTCCCTCTTGGCTACCCAATTGTCCCAGCTCCATTTACTGAGTAATAAATATTTTACGGTGTTAGGAAAATTCTGTTTGGTAAATGGTTGTTTATAATAGCGTTCCTAACAGCTGAGTCCTGAAAAAAGTGGTCTCAAAGTCCTGGAGGCCGCACGGAGGAAGGCAGGGGTCAGCCTTGAGCTTTCCTCGTTGTTAGTTGATGACAGTGGGTGCAGTGTGAGCCCCAGGCTGAACTGCAGGACACACTAGATGGTCAGCCTGTCCCTATCTGTGGGACTTGGATACCCTCTGGGTTCAGGAAGCCAGGGGTGGCCATGGCTGACTAGAGGGTGTTTTGAGCTGCCTTGGAAAGTGCTCCAGCTTGAAAGTTCTTCCTCCTCTATGGCCTGGTCATTGCTGAGGGTTGATCTATCCCAATTTTCAGTAGTAATAGCCCAGCTGCCTAGGAGCCTGAGCATCTGTGAATGGGAGGCTCATGACGACGTGGAGGAGTATGACAGAAATGAGCCCTTGGAGGAGGAGAAAGGAGTGAGTGGAAGAGGCCGGGGATTCTGCCTCCCACAGAGGCAGGCAGAACGTGTAAGGTGGCCCCAGAAGGGATGATGAGAGCAGCGGTATGTCCTGGTGCCCTGATGACACTAGTTATGACCCGACCTTTCGCTTCTGGCTGTCAGGTTTCTTCTGCTTAGGAAAGAGCACCATAGCCAGGGAGCCAAGGGATGTGGGGATGAAGAACCCCTCTGGAATGTGAGGCCTTCCCCGACCGGGCCTCAGTGGACTTTCCCAATTCAATGCAGTGTGGCCTACAAAGCTCTAACTGGGAGTAACAACCTGGGATTTGGCGCTCTCTCTGCCATTTGCTGGCAGGCTGGCTAGAAGAAAATCATTTTCCTAGTCTGGACCTTGTTTTCTTTACAAATAAAACTGGGTATTGAACTAGATAAGTGATTTTCTTTTTTAAGGCCCTTTTAAGAAATGGAAGAGTCCACAGAAACTCAGGAATAAAAGCGTTCAGTGTTAGGCAGCTGGGGTTGAAGCAGGCCTAGGAATAGGGGCTCTGGCAGCTGGAGCCACTGGACCAGATGGGGCTTAAGGTCCCTCCCGCTGGCCCTGGGACCTGCTTTATGAATAGAGGTGACAACACCTGTCTGGAAAGGAGGGGGGCTAATGAGATGGTTGCCTGGAAAGCTAGCAGAGCTGGAACATAGGTGCTCCATCAATGAAGGGGCTGCTATGACCGCTTGTACCTTCCCAAATTCTCCCCTCTAAATACAGCTCAGTCCTTCCTCTCCCTGCCACCAGCCCTCAGGGAACACTTTGCCCTCTGCATCCCAACCACAGCACGGCTTCGGGCTGGTAGCTAGTTGTTTATGTCTAAAACTTAACCACTGCAATCCAAGCAAGTTCCTGAAAGGAGACCAATTTCTTTCACAGCTCTAGATCCCCCAGGCTGCCCGGGAGGCAGATGTTCGACTCATGTCTGTGGGTGGACAAGCCCAGACCAGGATGCAGAAGAGATGCAGCTGCAGCAGTATCAGGATGTGGCCCTGGCTTGGTGTTCACAGCACGATGCTCCTAAGGAGGGGAGGTGAATCATGGGGCCCTTGCACCTCACAGGGCAGCTGTAACAGTTAGAGAGTGCGAGACAGAAAGCCAAACAGCGTAGGACGCGACTCACCGACCCTGAGCCTGCATCTCGCCTGTGCCCACGCCTCTGCCAGAAAACCATCAAGACGCTTTCCAATTCAAAGACTCAGAATTAAGGCTGCGTTCATGTCGCTTCTCATTTATTAATTCAGTCTAAGTTGTACAGTTATGAAAATAACAAAACCAAAGCTGGAAGCCCAGGAATATTTACACTCTCTTGGGTAGTGAGGTCAGTCTATGTTGTTGCACAGATTGGTTATGTTTGGTACCTCAAAATGTTTATAATTCAGACAAAATCAGACAGATTAACAATTTTATGTACAGTAAAACAAAAGGGGAAGTCATTCAAGTATCAAAATACAGAGACAAAGATTAAATAACATTTTTTATTACAGTTCAGTCCATTGCCACACCATGAGCAACAATACTTGTGAGCTGGCCTGGGTGTCTCACAGACAGCCCCCGTTCAGACTGGCTTTCTAATGTCTCTGCCTGCTGCCTGCTCCAACCTGAGCGTCTCGGGAACTCCCATTAGTGTCTGAAGCTGGAGGGCCCAGGAGGGACACGGAGCACTGCACACGCAGAGCCTGTCGGGAAGGTCTTATGCGCTGAGCAGCTGGTGGACAGGGAAGAAGAGGTGGACAAGAAGCCTGTGGCTGGAACAGGTACTGAGCCCATCTGAGGTCTCCCACCCTAATAGGCTCCTTCACAGTTCAGAAACGCAGCGACAGGGTCTGCCCCTGGTGTGACCTGCACTTGGAGAAGTGCAAAAGTAGGGGCCTTCCCACTTGAAGCCTGTCCTTAAAGTTACAATAACCCTTTCTAGGAAAGGGAGACTACCTGCCCCAGAGGAGAAGAAAAGAAAGGCCCAGTCATTTTCCTTTCTTGAATATTCAGAAATAAACCAATCTCTAAACAGAACCCAGGGCCACAGCAGACTAGCCAAGGCTTCCAATATGAAAATACCCTGAATAAATAAAGACGATATAGCAGCTTCAAGCAGAAGAAACACCTATGGATGATCTAAGCACAAAAGACAGCTTGAGGAGTGCATCGTAGTGTCTGCAGTTTCTTTCGGACCTGCCGCCCCCAACAGAGGCCCACTTAGACATGGCCTGGCCCCTCAGGAGGAAGACGGGCACCAGCATGTGCGCAGCAGCAGCGCAGTCTACTCTGGATGCTTTAGGGTTCCTGGTCAACTCTGGGAAGAAAGTCGAGGCCTAGTACTGTACAGCGTTAGCTCATGGGAATCCTCACAGGCCCTGAAAGGAGCAGGAAATGAAGTGAAACTGCAAGGTGTCGAGGTCTTCGTTTAGTACCAAGAAGTGGAGGGGGGGCCCGCCTCTGCCGCAGAGGGAGCTGGGTCCCAGGCCCCAACCTGCTGGGCACTTAGCAGATAGAAACCCACAAGGCCTGGCCTCTAGCCAGCCAGAGACACAGCCCCACTTCTGATTTCTGGCCAACCACATGGGTTAAGAATGTGCCTAACAGTACTCCCTGCACATACACACCCACAAAGAATTTAAATTCACAGCCTTTGCGGGGAAAGAGGAGTGTTGCTGAAGCCTGGACTATTCATCCTGGGACCAGATTGACCTATGCCAGGAAAGCTCAGAGCCTGCTAAAGTGCCCACAGGAGGAACTGGGCACACAACTGAGCTGAGCCAACTTTGCCTCTCAAATCCACAGCAGTTTCCCCTGCATTTCTACTCTAGTTCAGAGGAAAGACTGCAACCCAAGTTACTTTTAAAAGCAAAGTGAGCAGTGGGAAAGCTTAAGAAGCAGAGGCGCACTAGGATGCCAGCCTGCCCCAAAGGCCACGCGGGGGAGCATTGATGATGCACTGTCACCTTATTTAGCCTTTTCCACACCAGGGGCCGGGGATGAGCCCAGCTGCCGAGAGTGTAACTGTCAAACCAATAATTCAGAGAAGCAAAATGAGCCCCAATCACACAGGCTGATTAGACAAATCACAAATCGGCAAGTAGCAACCTTAGCTGACCTACTCCAAACATTAACGCCCCAAAGCTGCATTTCCTGTTCTCTGACACAATGCAGGCAGTACAGCGCCGGCCAGCCCAGGGCAGTGCTCCGGTCACTGACGCGTAAGAGGCCAGGGAGAGGCCTGGCGCTCTGGTGCTGGCTAAGACTTCCCAGCACTAGAAACTGCACACTTATCTTCATTTGGCCACTGAACCTTCCCATCGGGAACCCCAGAAATGGACCGGAAACCTTTGAGTTGCTCAGGTGCCTCTAGGGCTGTGTTCTTACAAGAAGCCTGTGTCCAGCCCCTGAAGGGGACAGGAAATTGGGCAGTTCATAAAGAGCAGCAGCTGACATGGTCAGGTTTGAAAAGCAGACGCACCGTACTCACTTCTGCCCGAGCCTGCTCCGTTCCCCTCACCCACAGGCCACCACCTTCTCTTCAGACCTGCTGAGCTGCACCCAGGTCCCATCCTGAGGACAGAGGCTGTGCAGGCTGGCCTCTGAACCAACCTCAGCTCCTCTGTCCTCTGCCCCATGGCCATTTGTCTAAAGATTGGCAGTATGACCTAGAGGTTTGAGCCAAGTGTTAAAAGTTCACTTTATAAAAAGATTTTGTTTCTGTTAAAAACAATGTGTTCTGAACAAGTCACTTCTTGACCCTCTGGAATGCCAGTCCCATCTGCTAGCGGCCCGGAGTGCTTCCCCACAGCCAAGGCAGGGCTCGTTCTGCAAGACGTGGTGGTGGCAGGCCCAGGCCAAGTGGCCAAGAGGAGGTCCTGCAGGTGGAGGTGAGGCCTGGGTCTTCAAAGCTGCAGGTGAGGCGGCGGCGGTGATGGCAGTGGGAGCCTATGCCCCCACGTCTATGTTTCCGCAGCACAGTGTGGTTCCTCAGTGGCTCAGCTTGGCAGAAGCAAACAATGGGGGGAGGAAAGGGTTAACCAGTGGGGCCTGTGGACGGTGGAGGAAACGGAAAGGAAACACAGCAGGACAGAAGATCCCTCACAGCCTCCCCTGGGCACCCTCCACGCCTGCTTTGAGCACCCACAGCCCGCAGCCTCGGCCGCCTCTGGCTCAGCAACTCTGCTCAGGAAGGCACAAGGATGGGTGGGTGCGCAGGACCCACCCGGTTTATCGACTTGGGTTTGGACTGCCCTGGCCGACTGGCTTTCCTAGTGGACCCTGCTCTATGTGCACGGCTGCCTTCCTGTCTCCTGCCATCCAAACTGATCTGCCCACATTGGAGAACGGGGGCCTCTTCAAAGACTCAGCTCCACCATCCCAGCTGCTGAGCTGCTGTGAGGGAACGGCCTCTCCTCTCAGAGGAGTCAGGAGGCTGAGGGAGGTGTTCAGGGGCGCGCTGGACGGCGCTATCTGTGATCCCCCACTGTGAAGAAAGTCAGAAAGCTCCCAGAGGACAATGGAGGCCACTTGGTCCAGGTCCCTGTCCTCCAGCAGCTCTGCTCTGTGAGGGAAGAAGGTGCGCCGTGTGTGCAGGGCACAGGCCGCCTCCTCGTTGGTTCTACAGAAGGCTTTCCTCCTCAGTGAGCTAGACTCCAGAGCCAGGCCCAAGGCTGCCAGGCCTTGAGACTCCGTGGTGAAGATAGAGGGGCTGTCCACACACGTGCCACCCCCCTCCTTGGAGGGGAAGGCCCATCAGGACTGAGACACCTGCTGTGTGAGCCAGCCTGTGAGTGTTCAGATACCCAGAGCCCCAAGCGGGATAGTCAGCACAGACCCAAGGGCCTGGTGCGTATCTTGGGCCCTCACAGAAAGCAGTCTATCCCTGGTCCAGCCACATCACTGAGCTCAAGGTCTCACAAGGGCGCAGCCATGAGAGTGAGGCCAGCTTCGCAGAGGAGCAGAGGACAGTGGGGTGGGGCTGCAGGTCGGCTGTGAGCAGAGTGCTGGGGACTCTGGCACCGGGTGGTCACAGTGGTTGGTTGTTTCAGGAGAGGTGAGAATAGTCAGCTAGCTCTTGGCAATGGTGCCCAGCTGTGGCTCAGTACAGCAGACAGGAGGAGGGAGCCACACAGAGCCCAGTCCAACCCCAGGGAGCTATCAGTGCCATTGGGATTCTCTGGAGACTGCCCTGCCCGTCGGGGTTCACAGTGCCTGCCCGTGGAGGCTTCTGGGGTGCAACAGAACCCCTGAGCCCTCTTGGTGCCCACCTCAGAGGCAACTCACCCCCTCAAGCTGTCCTCAGCCCAAGGGGGAGAATTCACAGTGTTCGGTGGTAGTAGGTACGAGAGCTGCGAGTGTACAGCGTCTACGCTGCCGCCCGCCCAGGAGGAGCAGGTCCCAGTGCAGTTGGGGCCTTGGCATCAGCAGCTGGAAGGACAGAGTTGAGGACAGCAGAAAGATCGGATGGCAAAGGCACAGTGAGACTAGTGGAGACAGGGAGTGGGTTGTTTTAGAAGATAGTGGTCTCATACTTGGTGCTGAGGCTCCGCTTAGAGTCTGGTTTGGGGTCCACAACCCAGGAGACACTGGCATGGGATTGGGCATCTTGGTCCATATCGGGTGGTTCCAGCTGCCAAACAAGGAAGCAGTCAAGAGTCAGGGAGCTCTGTGCCAGGGCTGGAGGCGGCAGGCCCCTCCCACCCCCAGGCTGGGCTGTGGCCCCTGTGCTGGGAGCGGTAGCCCTTATTCTCCTCAGTCAAAGAGCAGGCCCCTGGGGGCGGGCGGAGGAGGGACACCCTCCCGGAGCATCTTGGCGAGGGCCACCTCCAGGCACAACCTCTCTCCAGGATTTCTCGGGATTGCTCAAAGGATCCCTGTCCTACCCAGGTCTCCTGCTCTAAGCCCCAAACCCGCTCACACTGGGCAGGAAAGGGATATGGGGCTTGGAAATGTCAAGCCTCAGGTCTCTCTGGTAGGGCCAGAGAGCTCACCCCAAGGCAAGACCACAGCAGTCACCCCAGACCTCTGGAGAGAGGACACACAACAGAAAAACAAAGAGGGCTGAAGCACACACAGGACAGGCAGAGGGCATCTCAGGAAGAGGGGAAAGAATGTCACAATGGCAGAGGGAGAGGCCACCAGAGGCTAAGAGCGCTCACGGTCACTTCGGGGAGACTGACACACAAGACAGCAGGAGGCGTAAAGACCTTGACTCCAGGACTAACAGACGGCAGCGGTAGGTAGGAAGGACGGTGGGTGGTGCAGGTGTGACAGTAACAACAGCGACTATCGGGGGGCAGCGGCACCTGGGGTGCAGAGCAAAGCAGACACAGACACAGGGATGGCGCAGTTACTGGGGGCTGCCTGCGGGCCGCTCTCTGCAGCCCCTTGATGGCCTTGCCCTTGGGGGAGCCCGGCGAGGGAGGGCATTGGGGGCACCAGAGGCCGGCCCAGGCCAGAGGAGCTGTTGCCTTTCCAGGGCGAGACCTGGCAGGGGTGGGAGACAATGAAGAGGGTCATTTCCCTGGGGGGGCCAGCTTTCTGGAAGTGCCAGAAGACCCTCCTTGTGCTGGCCACCCCGAGCCCTTGAATCCCCGGGGCCAGGGAGGGGGGGGTCTTGTCCAGCGGGGCCCACGTACTGCGGATTTCCTCACGCCGACCCGAGGCTTAGGCACCGGTTTGGAAGATTTTGTTTCAATCATCTCAGCTGCAGAGGCGCCCATTGCCCTGGACTTCTGGGCCTGCAGGGCCAACTGATAGGCCACCTCGAAGGCCTGCCCCAGTGTCAGGATGATCTCGTAGGTCAGGTTCTGGGAGGAAGCAGATCACCACTTAAGTGCCTGGTTCAGGAGCCGCTTCACCCTTGTCCTCACCCCCACCCTGAGCACACAGGCAGCATCTGGGGTAAGAAGAGAACACTGGTTTTGAAAAGACACAATTTGAGCATAACACACTGTTTCCTTCTGCAGGATTTCATGGGATAGAAACACCAGGCAAATGCAAAAACTGCTGCCAGCTGAACCAAGCCCCCAGGAGAGAGAGACACCCCCCACCCCACCACACCTGGTGCCATAGCTTCACACTGGATATGACCTTCCTCGCAGGGACCACGTGTTCCCCTCTAAGTCTACCTGGGAGCGCTCCTACCTCCCTTCAACTTTTCCCTCCTTTCCCTCTCCCTAGGTCTCTGTTGTTCTCCCCGCTCTACACAGGATGTGGCCGGGAGCTGAGCTGTGGGGAAGGCAGGTGCACACTGCTACAAGCCCACGGCAGGTCTTTTCCAAGGCAGGGTGCCATGCCTGAGGTGGTACTTGGGTGTTTCTTAGCCATTTAATATAAGTGGTGCTAGTGCTTTTGTTTTTAATGTGTCACCGACAAAGTTTGTGAGTGCTGTGCCCCTAACTCCGTTTCCCCTTAAACCCTGTGGTTTTTAGTGTGTGATTTTTACACAGCACAGTGGTTAGGAGCACCTATGTGGCGTTACAGCAGAACTGAGTGTATGTGGGAAAAGTCAGCAACAGGTTAATGCCACTGACTGTGCTGTGTGGACCACCTCATCCATCTCACAGTGGCCCCTGAGGTGGGCCACGTTATATCCCCTCCAGACAGATGAGGAAGCAGGCAGACGTGATGTTTCCAAGCTCACACAGCTAGCAAGCGGCAAAGCCTGGCTCCTCCTAACCTTCACTGGCCCAGAGCAAGCAGAGGACTGGGATGGATGAGGTCCTGGGAGTGTGAGGATGCCCAGAGCTGCCTGTATTCCAGGAGCCACAGAGATTCTGGAAACAGCCGCTATCTCTGAGGACAGCAGAGACCTGGACCCCTCTGACTTCCTCCTGGGGTGAGGAGGCAGCCTGGGGCCACTCCCAGGCTTTGTTGTAGGTTACAGGGAACCCCTGCCTGTGGCTGTCATTTCTGGTCTGCTCCCTGTGGGCAGCTGTGTGAGGATGAACTCTCCTCGGCCCAGTGGCACCCAGAGCCGAGCCTCAGCAGGAATTTGAGGCAAGAAAATCTGCCAAAGAGGGCACAGCTGCCCTTAAGAGGGAAGTAGAGGGCATGTCTGGGAGGTGGCCCAGGCAGAGGTTGGAGAGCTAGGGCAGGGAGCCGGGGAAGACAATCGCCTTGCCTGACCTAAGAAAACACTCGCCGAAAACCTGGAAAGTCAGGGGCGGTGGCTCATGCCTATTACCAGTTATGTGGGAGGCTGAGGTGGGTAACTTGCCTGACCCCAGGAGTGCAAGGCCAGCCTGGGCAACATAGCGAGACTCCATCTCTTTAAACAAAACAACAAAAAAAAGCTGGAACCCCCTGTCCCTAGTGCCCTGGGCCGGTCTCTGTTCTTCTGTGCATCAGTCTCGTCACTGTGAAAGGGGACTGGCCTGGTGTGCTGCTGGGCTCCATTCATGAACCAAACCTTTGCCAGGCACTGGCCAGGGGCCAGGACAGCGCGGCATCTGTGCCCTGCAATGGGGCTGGATGCCTCAGGGCTAGTAACCCAAGCCCGCCCCGCCCAGACCCAGGACCCCACCCACCACATCCACGGTGCTGAACACATGGCAGTAGTGGTGGCTGGTCTGCAGGTCCTTGGTGATGTAGGCAAAAGTACAGAGGTCCTCCGGGTCCTGGGCCGCACAGGAAATGTTCCGGATCTCGTGCTCTGCGATGACGTTCTGCTGGGCAAGGCCGTGCTCTGGAATTCTCAGGCTCAGGCATGCCTCTGGCACCCCCCACCCCAGCCTGTTACCATGTCACTGTTCTCTGTCCCAGCCTAGAGCATCAAGCGAACCCCTCTTCATCTTCTCATTTTGTTTATTGGTGGGGGTGGGGGATGGTATCTAACCTTCCCCGATTTCGGTTTGAGGTCTCCACCCTTGACCACAACAACTAAGGCAGTAAAATGTTCACACCCAACCACAAGCTCTCCCCAGCCTCTCCCACCTCCCAGGGTGGGGGCAAAGAGAGAAGGGTGTCAGGTAGGTGGGATCCCACGCGGTGGCGCACAGGGGGGTCCTTTGCTCACGGAGGGAATCACACCCGTGAAGACCTGTGAGCAGGCACGTGGCCAGCGGAGCCCAGGTGGAGAAGCTAACAGCAGTCTCCACTAGGGCGGGACGGGGCTGACAGCAGGCACCCAGGCCAACAGACATGCTTCTTGGAGAAGTGGGAAGTAATAAGAGGACTGGGGACCCTCCAGGGAGATAAGGGATGACAGAAGGCAGCCAGATTGCTTGCCCTGGAGCCCTGTGGGTCTGATGGGGACGTGGGTCCCACTCCAGCCAAGAGTCCCTATAAGCAGCACACCTTGTTGGAGGCATCGATGAACTTGACACCTTTGTATGTGATGGACAGGATGATGGTGGGGATCTTCTTCATGTGCTCGGTAGATTTCTACAGGAAACAAGGAGTGGCCCTGTCAGTGCCCCTACTCAGGGCTAAGCCTCCTGGGCTTCCGCAGGTGCCAGCTTCCCTCCCATCCTTACATAGCACGGCAGGGCCCAGGCAACTGTAGCTACTGTCCCCATTGCTGCCTTCTGTCCTAGCCAGTCCCATGGCACCCTCCAGCCCGCACAGATACCCTCCAACCCATATAGGCACCCTACCCGCATCTTGGCACAGGCGTCTTGTGTGGATTCTGTCCCTCGCAGATCTTTGATCAGCATGGAACCCAGATACTGTGGGGATGAGCAGTGGCCAGGCTTAGGAAATCCTGCGTTTCCATGCAGGGGTGACCCAGCCAATTTGGGACTGTCCCACACTCAAGTAGTTACCCGTCCCGGTAACACCCCCTCCCCTGCCCCAGCTGGAGAGGCCCTCCATTCAACTCTGGCTAAAGGACCCAGAGGCCTCCACCCCTTTGCCTTAGCCACCAAGAGTGGCTGAAGAGTGGAGAACAGCTCGCAAGTCCTGGGCCTGGCTTTGTGGAGTCCCTGCTGGGACCTAGCCGCAGGTGCCTGGCCGAGAAGGAGCAGGGAGGCTGGCCCTGCTGGGAGGGTGAGAGCAACTCACATTGGCTTCATAACCACAGGACTCGAAGATGAGTTTCTCTGGCTGGTGTTGCCAACTCTGCACTGGGGCGTAGGGGGCTGCCAGGCTGGGGGGCCGCAGGGTCAGCTTGGCCTCGCGGTGCTCCTCCTGCAGAACACACGCAATTGGACACCTGCTCCTTGCTCCACAGGAGCACACCCAAGGGTGAGATGCCAGTGACCTCAGCAAGTTCAGGGGTCAAGTGGAGATGGCAGGGGGCAGACCAGCAATTCAAACCCACTGCGGGAGAGGGGAGGTGCTAGCCACAGCACCGCCTGAGAGCAGGGCTCGGGAAGGACAGTCTCTGTGGTGTCCGAGACGAGTCTCAAAGGAGATGGGAAATGACCAGAGAGGAGATGGCAGAGTCTGTGGGGAGGGCGGGGTACAGGCTGCCAGGCTGTTCTGCATATAGACCAAAGGAGAGAGCGGCGGTCATGAGACCCTGGGATGCCTTGGGGCCCAGCCCAGGGCCTGGGAGGGATCTTCAGAGCTGGGAAGCCAGTGAAGCCCCCGTGCCTAGGAATGCATTTCAAATGGATCCTTCTGGCAGCAGCTGGAGGGAGGGGGAGGCCACTGCGGTCCAGGCAAGAGATGATGGGTCCCTGCCCAGGGTGCTGGTAGAAGGAATGGAGAGGAAGGAAAAGATTTAGGAAACACTGAGGCCCTCCCTTCCCAGCAGTGTGCAGAGCCTCTCAACAGCCATCGGAATTGCTGGACAATGTGTTTTCCTTTAAAACTCATGGCTGTGCTTGTAGAAAGGGAAGGGAAGTCCCCAGAGCCAGAAGTGAAAAGTGAGAGTCAGAGAAGCAGGCAGGGGTGAAGCTGAAGTCACCCAGAGGGGCCTGAGGGACACCTGCCAATCCTGTGTCTGACAGGCCAAGAAGAGGACAAAGGACAAAGCCAGGGTCCGTACAAGGCGAGAGGCAGGACAGGCAGGTCCTGAGTAAATCCAGGACTCCTGGAAATGATGCCCAGAGGGTGAGCCAGGAATGTGAGACGGGCCCACCTCGGCCAGGGCTGGAGCGGGCACCGGGAGCACAGGAGGTGTCTCCAGAGGTGCCCCCATGGCTGCAGGCAGAGAACGGGAAGAACAGAGTCTGGTCTGCGGCGGTTTTGCTGGGCAGGAGGAAGAGAACGCTGCAGAGGTGAGGCTGCAGGGAAAGCAGTTCTCTGGGAACAATGCAGGTAAGCAGAGAAGGAAGGGGCCAAGAAGGAGCTCAGAGAGGCCAAGAGAGCACAGAGGGCTCTGGGGCCAGCAGGGCAGGATGCAGGAGGCCACAGAGAAAGAGTGGACACGGGATCTGAACCCCTGAGGGAGGGAAGTGCAGGCCACAGGAGTGGCCCTGGCAGCCGACTGCTGAAATGAGTTGTGCGGCCTGAGCTCAGCACCATGGGGGCTGGGTGAGCCTTACACAAGGCGGCTGGGTGTGGGTGAGCAGAGCAGGCTGGTGCCTCCTGACTCTGGTGCCAGCCCAACTGTGCTCGGGTACAGGGCAGCAGGTGGTTCTGGGAGGCCCTGTCCCGCCCAGAGGAATGAGGTAGACCCTGGCCGCTGCTCCACTCCCCACCCCCTACCCGCAGCTCCACTCCCCACCCCCTACCCGCCCTGCCCCACCTGCATCCTGAAGCGCTCGGCTCTGGAGGGGGCCGCGGGGTCATGGAGACTGTCATGGCGCCTCCTGCCTGTGTCCCCTGGAGGCAGCAGCAGGTCAGCCGACCGCCCAGTGCAGGAATCATTCTGGCTCAGCGGGGATGACGTCTGGGAGAGCAAATCTTGGCACTGTGGAGGGAGAAATCCAGGTGGAACTTGCAACCCTTGGCCCAGTGCCCGGCTACAGGTGTCAGCCAGCCCCGCTGGTCAGGACGGCACAGGGAGCGGCACCAGGAGAAGCAGCAGGGATCGAAGGGGCCAACGCCACAGGGGTGTCAGACAAGTGGCACCACGCAGCCACCGTCCACTAGTGTCCCCAAAGAGGGTGGGGAAGCCACTTTTGCGTTTATAAGAGATTAAATCTTCTGTCCTGATCCATCGCAGGCCTCTGCGCATGACCAAAGCACCCTCCTGAGAAAAAATGTAGCCCTGTCAGTCAGGGCCCTAAAGCCACCGTCCCCCACAGAATAAAGACTGGGCTTCGCAGTGTCTATATTTGAATGTCAGTTGTGTATTTGGTTCCCAGAGCAAGGCTGGGCCTCCACTTTCTCATCTGTAAAAGGAGGATGAACAGGACCCACTTCACGAAGCCCCTGAGGGTTCAATGGGGTGAGACCTGCCCAGTGCACCCGAGGGCTCCCTGCCCCAGTTACCGCCATTCCTGCACGCTGTGGCCTGGGGCTGGGGGAGAGCTCTTCCTCAGCCGCAGGCTCTGGGTCTAACCCGTTTCTGCAGTCAGGAATTACCGGCAGGAGCAACAGATCACTGGTGAGGTTTTTAAAATGCAGCTGTCTTAGCCACCTGAGCCTGGGAATTCGAACTCAGATCTGGGGGCTGCGCAGGAGGCTGCAAGTCCTGGCTGTTTGGATTTGTCTCAGGTGTTATCCGACCCAGCCCCTGCCTGTCCCCAGGCACAGAGCTGAGTTCAATGCCCAGGCACGGCCTGGTGTTTTCCTACTATCCCCCAAGTCTTATGTGTTTGACAGGCCATCCCCAAATAGAAATGGGTGGCAGGGAACTTCTCTAAACCCCCTCTCCTGTGCTCCTCTCTCCTTGTTGCAGCTGCTTTCTCCTACACTACAGCGGCGCAGTCTCTGAAGAATCCTAAAGAATTCTATGTAATTCCTACAAATACAGAGAACAGACAGACATTCCTTTCCATCCCTCCCTGACTCACCCTCAGCTGGGAGAATCTGGGGGGCTTCTGGGGCGGCTCCTCATATGGCCTGTCTGCGAGGGAGGCGATGATGCGCTTGCGATGGCCCAGCAGCTGGACCTTCAGGACCTGGGTGATGAGGAGCGGGGAGGTGACGGGTCAGGTGGCCAACTCACTCGGTCTGCTCCAGCCCCCAGCACTCTTCCGCTGGGCCAGGCTGCCCCTAAGGGAAGCTCAGGCTTCTGGAGGGTCCAGGCCGGGCCACGCAGGGGCTACTCACGTTGACGAGCTCCAGCTCCCAGAGGTTCTTCACGGTGTCGATGGAGCTGTAGCCACTTGACAGGAAGGAATGGACGTAGTCCTGCAGCCCCAGGGAGTCCAGCCAGGAGGGCACGGAAGGGGGGCTGTTCCCATCATAACCCAGAGCCTTCACCTACAGGGCAAGGAGGGAGGCAAAACTGACATCTCAGCACTCACTGAGATGGAGAGGGACCCGAGGACCACAGACCCAGCCAGCTCACACAGACTGTGGCCAAGGGGGTCCTGCATGTTTGGGGTCCTCAGCACCTTCGAGTCCCTCTCTTCACACAGCCTCTCCTATCACTCACTGGTCTCGGCTTCCCCATGGGGAAAGCAGGAGCCGCTGGAGCACCGACAGGGCTGGAAGACGGCCCTAGCAGACAAGCCTAGGTAGGGAGGAGGGTCTGCAGAATGCCTCCGCCCTGAGCTCCGCTGAGATCACGGGCCTGGAGGGACAAGAGGATAGTGTGTGCCCTCAGAGCAGGCACTTCCCAAGCTCTGGGCAGGTAGAAGGGGCGGGGCCACTGGACTCAGCACAAGCGCAGGGCACAGCCTCGAGCCCACCAGCTCCTGGCTCCCCAGGGAAGACGGTACCTCCCTCAAGCCCACCTGGGGAGGGGCCTGGTGCCAAGGCTCAGTGCAGGGTGGCCTGGGCTCCGGTGAGCCAGAGAGACCCTGAAGGGGGCTCTGGGTGAAAGGCCAAGCCAAGCTCCCGAGCCCGGCAGACCCCCAGAACCTCCTCAAGACCCCGAGGAGCCACTCCCTGCCCTAGGGCTCTGCTGGCTCTCCAAAGGCCTTAGGGTGTAGTGAGGAAGCAAACAGGGTTGTGTGCGGCCCTTCTGGAGCTCCTAGGGTGAGGGGTAGAGGCCCCGCCATGCCGGAGCCCTGCTCCTCCCCTGTTCATGGTGCAGGTGGTGCTAGGGAGGTGGCCCTGGCTCCACACAGGCTGAGGCTACAGGGCTGGCGACAGTCACCTTGGGCAGGGAGCGTGCCGCCTGGAGCAACTTCCGCCGGTGCTGTGGGTCACTGATGCCGATGTCCCGCAGGTCCTGCTCTTCCATCACATTAGACCCCTGAGAGCAGAAAGTGGATGTCAGGGCCCCTCTTGGATGGACAGCTGGTGGCCCTGAGGGGGTCAGGTGGGCCTTTCAGGGCTCCGCACCAAATTCTCCTTCACTGCAGGCACCAAGAGGGCATGGGGACAAGTCTGCCCAGACTGCCCACGCCCATCCAGGTGGCTCCCAGGGGAGCTGGGCAGAGCTGGGGCTCCAGAATATGCACAGGGTGCTGAGGCCGGCAGGGCACACAAGGGTGGGGGCGCCGCCTGCCCAGGCCCAGCCACAAGCCCTGGCCCCCCGAGTGTATGTCCATTTTTCTGGGGAGCAGGTTCCAGGTATCCAAGATAAAGAACGGGTGGACTTATCCCAAGGTTCCTCTTGGACAGGATTTTATAATTCTAAGGCTGTAACAACCACCTCAGGCGGACAGCTGGTGACAGGGGCAGCTACCCGAGGAGCCAGCCTCACCCCAAGAAGGAGACTGTCAGAGAAGGGCGTCCTTGTCCCAGGGAGAAGGGTGGGTCAGAGCTGAGCCCAGTCCGCGCTGTTCTCTGCGGCCTCCACTGGCCTCAATGGAGCAGCTGAGGGTGGAGAGGCACACGGAGCGCCCACCGGCAGCGCTAAGCACGATGAGAGGATGTGGGGATGGAGGCTGGTGCTCCTGCTGCTTTCTCACTCTATGACAGGGCTGAAAGCTGTCACCTGGTGCATCTCACTTCATGCTCACAACCTGCATGTTAGGGTCTCTGTTAATCCCATTAATCTGTTTTAATAGATGAGGAAACTGAGGCACACAGAGGTCAGAAATTTCTTGACATCACATATCTAGTGGTAGAGCTAAGATGTGACCCTGGGCAGCCTCTTTCCTTCATGCTCCTGGCCCCTGCAAGGACGTCTCTAATTATAATAGTCACAAGATAGTGTGAGCAGATTTAATTTTAAAATACACAGTATGGCCTATGATACAAAATTCACAGGTCCTGCCCATCCCTCAGCCACGGAGCCCCTTGCAGTTGCAGCTGCTGCCACTTCCTGGACGTCCCCAGAGCCCAGCTGGGCACAGACAGGCAGGTGCCTGCACACTGCATTTTCACACAAACGCCATTCTCGCACACACTCGGTGCCTTGTTCTCATCGCTGAATAGACACAGGAGATTGCTCCGCAGCAGCGTATGTGGCCCACCTCCTCTGGACAAAGCTGCAGCATCATCTAGGTTAGGAACACGCTATAATTTACTCAGCCAGTTCCCTGTTGAAGGACATTTGCTTCAACTTCAGCTACTGCACACGGTGCCGTATGAGCACCTCCCTGCGTGGGTCGTGTCGAGGCCTGTTACGAGGAAGGGTTTCTGCTTGCTTGACGGGTGTGCGCACTTAACATTGACAGCTCTTTCTGCTCTTAGTGACGCCAGCGCTCGATCCCCCACACCGTCAGCAGCACAGCAGGGAAAGAGTCTATCACTGCGGTTTCAATTTACACATTTCTTACCGGCGTAGGATCATCTCATCCAGAATGTGACGCTGAGCATCTTCCGACGTTTTATCTATCTAGCATTTCCAAAGCACTCCCTCCCTACTCCATGCTGGACCTGCCCAAGCCATTTAGTAATAGGGACTATTGTGGCGGGGCACGGTGGCTCACCCCTGTAATCCCAGCACTTTGGGAGGCTGAGGCAGGCAGATCATGAGGTCAGGAGTTCCAGACCAGCCTGGCTAACATGGCGAAACCCCATCTCTACTAAAAGTACAAAAATTAGCTGGGTGTGGTGGTATGCACCTGTAATCCCAGCTACTTGGGAGGCTGAGGCAGGAGAATCATTTGATCCTGGGAGGCGGAGCTTGCAGTGAGCCGAGATCCCACCACTGCATCCCAGCCTGGGTGACAGGGTGAGATTCCACCTCAAAAAAAAAAAAAAAAAAAAAAAAAAAAAAAAAATTGGGGCTGTTGTTATTCCCACCCTACAGTTGAGGAAGCCGAGGCCCACAAAGTTTTGGCGACTTTCTAAGGTCATATGGTAAGTGCATTTGGAGCCAGACTCAGCCCCAATGCTGTCCACGTGGCCCTGCTGCCACACACTTGGGGACACCCAGAGCTCCTTTTCCAGGAGTTAACTTGCTTACAGCCTCAGAGTTTTTCTATGAAGTTGTCGGTCTTTTCTGCATAGCTACGTAGCAGTTCTTTACATGGTAAGAAAACTGGCCCGTTGCAATGGCTCACGCTTGTAATCCCAACACTCTCGGAGGCCAAGGCGAGGTGGGAGGATCACTGGAGCCCAGGAGTTTGAGGCCAGCTTGGGCACCATAGTGAGACTCTGTTTCTACAAAAATAAAAAAATTAGCCAGGAATGGTGCTGTGCACCTGTAGTCTCAGCTACTTGGGAAGCTGGGTGGGAGGAACACTTGAGCCTGGGAGGTTAAGGCTACAGAGAGCCACGATTGCACCACTGCACTCCAGCCTGGGTGACAGTGAGCCCGTCTCCAAACAGAAACAACAATATATGTGTGTGTACGTACAACAAAAAATAAAGCAAATTAACCTTTTGGCCGGGCACAGTGGCTCACGTCTGTAATCCCAGCACTTTGGGAGGCGGAAGTGGGCAGATCACGAGGTCAGGAGTTCGAGACCAGCCTGACCAACATGATGAACCCCTGTCTCTATTAAACATACAAAAATTATCCAGGTGTGGTGGAGGGCACCTGTGATCCCAGCTACTTGGGAGGCTGAGGCAGGAGAATCGCTTGAACCCAAGAGGCGGAGGTTGCAGTGAGCTGAGATCATGCCACTGCACTCTAGCCTGGGTGACAGAACAAGACTCCATCTCAAAAAAAAAAAAAAAAAAAAAAAAAAAAAAAAAAAAGAAAATTAACCTTTTATCTATGAAATGAGTTAGATATTTGTTTTCTGGTTTGCTATTTATCTTTTGGCTTTTATGCTGGCTTTGCTCATGTAGAAATCTATTTTTTTGTAACTAAGTGTACCCAACTTTTCTTGTAGAGCTTCTCAGTTCTGTCAGGCTTAAAAAGATCTTGCCTGTCCAAGACTGTTTTTTACATTCTTCCTTATTTTTTCCTGTAATTTGTTGTTTTATTTTTTTTGAGACGGAGTCTTGCTCTGTCATCCAGGCTGAAGTGCAGTGGCGCGATCTTGGCTCACTGCAAGCTCTGCCATTCTCCTGCCTTAACCTCCCGAGTAGCTGGGACTACAGGACTCCCGCCACCGCACCCTGCTAATTTTTTGTATTTTTAGTAGAGACGGGGTTTCACCGTGTTAGCCAGGATGGTATCGATTTCCTGACCTCGTGATCCACCCGCCTCGGCCTCCCAAAGTGCTGGGATTACAGGCATGAGCCACTGTGCCCGGCCTAAGTTTCCTTTTTTATAGCTAAATCTTTAATCTATCTGGCAATTATTTTGATGTAAGGTGTAAGAGTCAAGATCCAACCTTATTTTTTCTCCGGCAGCAAGCTGTCCATTTCTTGATGAGCTATCTTTTTCCCCCATCTGGAATGGCCTCTATGGTATCTGAAATTCCTGTGTATTTCTGGGCCTCTTTCTGGACTTGTACTCTGTTGTGGTGGGCATTACTTTACACTTGGAAGGCTAAGTGACTTGGGCCAGCTCATGCAGACCATGACTTGCTTGGCCCCCGCCCCGTGTGGTGACTGCTGGCCACAGGAGTCTCCTCAGAGCCTGTGCATGGTGACATAAACTTTGTCCCACAGAGGACACTGCCAGCCTTAAGCTTCAGAGAGCCCAGGTGAGGAGAGCCCCGAAGCCAGGCTGGAAGCCCCCACTCCGCTGCACCTGCAGAACACACCCCGTGCTGGGCACAGGCGAGGCCTGGGCACCACTCCAGGTCTGAGCCCAGCCAAGCCACCCCCAAATCTGAGAGTCACCACAGAGTTCCTACAGCAGCTCTGGGACCAAATCTAATGTCTGCTGTTGCAGAACGGCAGAGAGAGGCAGCCGCCTTCCCAGATGTTTTTTTTTTTTAAGTGGAGTGCAGTGGTATGATGGCTCACTGCAACCTTGACCTCCTGGGCTTGAGTGATCCTCCCGCCTCAGCTGCCCGTATACGTAGCTGGGACCATAGGCATGTACCACCATGCCCGGCTATTTCTTTTTTTTTTGTAGAGATGGGGTCTCACTATGTTGCCCAAGCTGGTCTTGAACCCCTGAGCTCAAGTAATCTTCCTGCCTTGACCTCCCAAAGTGCTGGGATTACAGGTGTGCACCACTGCGCCTGGCTCTGGCCCAGACTTTCTACCTGATTATGAGGATACCAAAGCAAAGAGCTGAGCTGAGCCTGCCTCAAAACTCCAAGAGGACGTGAATGTCCAAGAGTGATTGCGGCACCGCAGTAATGTTCTAAACTCCTGCTCAACCCCAGCATTGACTCAGAAACCTTTGTAAGCTTTCAGGGCACCTGAAGGCTGACAGCCAGGAAAGCCAGATCCGCCGGAGACAGGCCCTTTGCTAACCAGACCTCGGCCAGCAGAAGGGCGGGCTGTGTGCAGTTTTGAGGAACAAGGGATGAATGGAAACACACAAAAATAAAGGAAATGACAGAAAAGAAAGGCGAACCGTTGCCAAAGTGCATTCCAGGACGGGTCCTCCCAATTCCTGAAGCAGCCACATCTCCGCACCGGGGGACGAGCTTGTGTGGTGACCACCCAGGGCCACAAATCTTCAAAGGGCAAGAAACGCTTCTGGAAGTTACCAACCCTCTTTACCCAGGGAGAAGGGACCACTGGCTTTTAGAAACCTCTTCATGAGGAGGGTCATGCATGGGGAAAAGAGATTTTCTACTTTACCTGCTACCACGCTAACATTTACTGAGTGCTTACTAGATGGCAGGAACTTCTATAATTAGGAAGCGAATAAAGTACAACAGTTCAGTGTCCTAGGGATTGTAGTTAACAGGGATTGTCTCAGCTTGGATAAAAGCTTCACAACTCCAAGTGACATCTGAAACACACAACTAGTCTTCCAGCCTTGCCTGGTTTGGGTCCGGT